GCCCTCACACTCCTGCACCCCAACCCTCGGCCTGAGCCCCCTCGCACGCTCAGAGCCCCTTGGCCCCACCCCTGCCACATGGATTTTGCTGTCACCAATATGAGGGTGACATGTCGCACGTCTTTTGTGTCGCACGTGCCTTCCACGCTGGGGCACATCAGAAAACTCATTCCACTTGGTGTGGAAAGGGTTAGAGGGAACGCTGGTCCTGCCTCCCCTCCACCCTGCCCCCCTCCTTCCAGACTCCCACACTCACCGCCCCTCCTGCTCCCTAGTTCTACCTGCGGGAAGACGACATGGGGAAGAACCGGGCCGAGGCCTCCCAGCCCCGCCTGGCTGAGCTCAACTCCTATGTGCCCGTGAGCATCCATACCGGGGCCCTCACCGAGGACTTCCTCAGCGCCTTCCAGGTACCCACAGGCCTGGGGCCTGCCCGCCCCACAGAGAGCCGCATGCCTGGCTTCTCTCCCCAGCGCCGGCAGGGGAGTGGGGTCTAGCGGTTAGAGCAGGGGGGGCTGGACGCCAGGATTCCTGGCTTCTCTTCGCAGCGCTGGCAGGGGAGTGGGGTCTAGCAGTTAGAGCAGGGGGCTGGACGCCAGGATTCCTGGCTTCTCTCCCCAGCGCTGGCAGGGGAGTGGGGTCTAGCGGTTAGAGCAGGGGGGCTGGATGCCAGGATTCCTGGCTTCTCTTCGCAGCGCTGGCAGGGGAGTGGGGTCTAGTGGTTAGAGCAGGGGGGCTGGACACCAGAATGCTTGTCTTTCCTGCCAGCACTGGGTAGAGGAGTAGAGTCTAGTGGTTAGTGCCAGGGGGTGGGTGCCAGGACGCCTGGGTTTCATCCCCAGCTGTGTTGGGCTCCCGTCTTCATGTCAATACAGGTGGCTGGAGACCCCAGAGCTTCGGGAGGCTCTTTGGGGAGGGGATTCAAGCTGTGGGGCTCTGTGTGGGGAGCACAGAACAGGCAGGAGAGGCAGAGCCTGGCCATTGGTGGGTGTGTGTGGGGCAGGGGTGCTGGTTGGAGCTGGGAGAGTGGATTTCTGGGGAGGGGGAGGGCTGATGCTGAGGGG